CAACCGAAATTCACTTCTGTGTCTCTTCGTGTGAGCTCCGTGTCGCCAGCCCTGCCCATGCTAGAGCTTTCGTCCAGCCCGTGGCTCTCAAGTTTATTTCTGCTCCGGCACGGATGGGGCACGGTTTGAAGCGAGCCCGGATGGACTTTGTGTTGTGGCCTCAGGCGGAGCTCCGCCTGCAAGGCCTGGATAAGACGACAGTGTTGTGCTAACAAAATCCACACATGTTTTGACTATTTTGACTCGCCCGAGGTATCCGCTCCTTTCGGGCGATGCCTGGTTGCACCAGGCCGGCAAGCACGAGAGTCACTAGAAGGTTTCAACCCCCAGAACCTCTAAGAAGCGGCATCCCAGGCACTCGGAGGCCGCACGCCAGTTGGCCTTTTCGGTGGCTGCGAGGTGCAACCGATTTATTCGGAAGTTCTTCGCGTGGATAGTGGTGCAACAGTCTTTCCTGCTCAATCAACTGTGTAGGTTATATTGGTCAACGGACCGATCTTCGTCGGTGTGGACTATGAGTGCACACGAGAGATAGTCGGCTGTGGAGAGACGCCCCGTGCAGAATTCAGGCCACATGGGATGCGAGCAGTCATTCATGTAAGGATCCGGCTGGAGAACTGTTGCGGAAAGTCTGCATGCCGCGAACCCTTTGGAGCGTTGTCCTACTTTCCTCCGTAGGTGTTTGAAAGTTAAGTTAACTACATCTGCTGCTTTGCAGATGGACGACAACATACCTGCGGGAAAAGAGCTCGCAGAAGCTCGTGGCGCAGATGACTCTGCAGGAGCGATGTTTGTGGCTGTCCAGTACACATGTGTGGCTCTGCCGCCTGCATGCCGCAGGATATGCAGCTGAAGGCATCTCTCGAGGGCTATTCGCAGCTTCGGGCGCAAAGTGACGGTTTGGCCCAGGCCGGAGAGCCGGCAGAAAGTGTTACACTGCACAAAAACTTCCTGTCACGATGCGCCAGGCTAAACTTTGATGTGCCGTGTCGGAAAAAAGACGCCTCTGCTGTTATTATGCTTTGCTTGCACTCGGTGACGTCCTGCTCGGGGCCATGCGGTGTTTGCTTTAGATAGCTGTAGGCTCGTAGCTCTTCGTGAAATCCCATGTCAGCGCCCACAGGCGAGTGCTGGTGCATGCTTGGACGAATCGTGATGTCAGCTTCCTAGAAAGGGTGGACGACCTGCGTTGGTTTCTGGAAGAGTCGCGCCGCTAGTTTGTCAGGTGGACAATGCATCCTGCTTCAGCACTCTTCTTCAAGCCTTACCGCCGCTTGTCAGAGGACACAGAGCAAAGCTTGGAAGATGCTTGAGTGCCATTTCCCTCTTGCGTTGCGCTGTCCCTCTCGCTCTCGCTCTCCCTCTCCCTCTCCCTCTCGCGCTCTCTCTCCCTCTCGCTCTCTCGGTCTCTCCCTCTCTCCCTGTCTCCCTCTCTCTCTCTCTCGCTCGCTCGCTCTCGCTCTCGCTCTCGCTCTCTCGCTCTCTCTGGCTTTCTCTCTTTACCTCTCTCTCTTGCTCTCTTGCAGGACTGGACTTCCAAAACCTTGCCTGCACCTTTCTTGACTTCCCGGTCACATGTTGGCCAAAGGTGCATAGCCGAGCTGCTTCTTTAAGCGTCCGTTGAGCGAACGAGTCTTGCCCCAGCGACCTGCTATTGAGGCTTGCATCGCATTCGGCACAGTAGTGCTGCAGAAGGATGTCAGGGGCTGCAGTGCGCGTCCTGTCCAAGTTTATTTACGGGCTGCCGCCAGTGCCGCCGACCCCGAAAGCTGAGAGGTCACTATCCAAGGAAGGCAGCAGGCGTTGAAAACAAAATTCCAAGTAAGTGCAGGTTCACAGTGATGCCGGATCACACCCGATTTCAGCCATAGTGCCCAAGC